TGGTTTGCTCTCTTGTCGCAGGATCTCTGTGTGGCTTCCTCTTCCTGCAGACATGGAAGAGGCAGGAGGAGCAACGGTACTGAAGACGCATGCGATCATACATCCCGCGAACCGTGCTTGCACCGAGCCTCTGTGCAAGCACGGTCAAGAACCCCTCAGCGAGGGGTTCTTAACCAGTTGGCTTACTGCTTTGGGGAGGCATGTGCACCGCTCTCCAGACCCCCTCGCGCTTTGAAAACAAATATGAAAAAAAGAGGGGATTGTTCTCACTACTTTCAGCCTCCCGGGGCCCTCACCTGGCCCCGGGACCGTCAAAAAACGGCACAAGATGAAAAACTGGTCCCAGGGAAGAGGTCCAGGCCTCTGGGAGTCGACGTTGTGAAAAAACTCGACACGTCGAGGGTCTGGGTCCTGGGCCCAGGATGGGCCTGGCCAGAAGTAGTAGACGCGAACAGATCTCGTCGCCCGACACGCGCGTCAGCAGGCAGCCCCGAGGGAACCAAAAATTGCCGATTCCGCTACGCACCTCTCCGGGGTCCGCTCAGACCACAATTTCGAAGCGAATCCAGCCGCGGCGACGAGGGCCTTCCAGGAGGCCCACACCGGCGACAACGAGCCACAAGGGTAGCGGTATCGATACCTTTCCTCGTCTGGAGGCCGGCTCCCAGACCCCGGACGCCATGATGTGCGTTATGACGTCGACCCCCAGAAGGCTTGACCCATTCCTCAGGTTCAGCCATCTTTTTTATCCCAATCCCCTGCCTGCCTGATTTTCACGTCCGTCGAGGCGCCCCTGCGGCATTCCTTGCAAGGCGCACCCCGCTGCCACAGGAGGGGAAAAGCAGAGACACGGGCGTCTGAGACGACACGCCTCCATGACCGGGCTTGAGTTCAATCAGCGGCGACGGCAAAGCTGGCGTCCACAGGATACCCCAGCACCGAGCTCGAGCGCTGGGGGCACGTGCGCTCTCCTGCACGCGGGAGCGCCAGGGAGCCCTGAGAACAGACCTGCGCGCTGAGCTCAAGCGCTGCTGGCCCTGTCGCAGCATGCGCCGCGAGACGCCTGCGCGCTGTCGGCAGGGGCACCTCGAGGGCCTCGGGCGCCCCGGGGGCTTCACGGCGTTCGAGGGCCTCGAGGCTCTCAGTACAAGAAGTTCTTGGACTTTGCGCTGAGCTGCTTGGTCTCGTGCTGCATCTTCGCCATCAGCTTCGACAGCGCCTTCACGTCGCCCTTCTCGATGCTCCCGATCGCCTCGTTCAGCTCGGCCAGCTCCGCCGCCTTCAGGGCGCGGGCCTTCTTGTAGCTCCGCCTCGCCTGCTTCTTCAGCATGGTGAGCACCTTCTGGCCCTGCTGGATGGCGTCCTTCTGGCCCTGCGTGGGTACCTGTTTGTTCGCCACCTTCTCCAGCTCGGCCTCGCGACCCTTCTCCTCGGTGTCCAGGCGCTCCAGGGCCGCGGTGAGGTTCTTGGCGCGGGAGCGCAGGTCGGCCACGACGTGCTCCAGGGACGCCGGCACTTTCGAGGGCGCCTGCACGTGCTGCTTGCCCTCGGCCCTCGGCGCCGCGGACATGGTCTTGGCCATGGCTTCGAGGCTGGCCAGCTCGGCCTCCTGCTGCCGCGCCTCCTCCTGGGAGCCGCCCTCCGCCTGCTCCGCCTTCTCGAGGATCTCCTTCTGCATCTGGGCCTCCTTCAGCATGGTCTCGTCCTTGGCCAACACTGCCCTCTTCTGCTCCAGCTCCCTCTTCAGCTCCACGATGCGCGCCGCCGCGCTGGCCTCCTTCTCTTCGGCCGTCTTCTCCTTCGCGAGGGCGTCCCTGGCGGCCTTCTCCCACGTCCCCTGGAGGCCCTGCAGCGAGGTGATGGCGTGGCCAACGAGCTTCATCTTCTCGGCCTTCGAGATGCTCCCCGACTCGATCTCCTTCGCGGCCTGCTCCACCTCCTGCGTCACCTTCTTGGCGGCGCCGGCCATCTCTGGGCTCATCCGAGGGTTGGACGTCAGCTTGGCGAGGGCCTGCTCCACGGCGTTGATGGCCGCGACGGCAGCGGTGGCCTCGCTGGACCCCCTAGACGAGCTCTTCGCGTGGAGGGCGGTGCTGTTCCTGCGGAAGGCGGCGCCCCCAACGAGGAGGCGCGCGACCAGCACCAGCGCCAGGCTCGCTTTCGGGAACATGTCTCTGTGGCTGCGTTGGCGCTGTCGCGCGGCGGAGAGTCCGAAGGGTCGCTGCGGCGACCGGGAGTGCCGCGCGGAGATGCTGGAGCCGCAACGGCTACGGTACGCACTCCCCCGGTCCAGCTCTTCGTCCCGAGTCGTGTTTGGACGGTCCCTGGGGCCGGGAAGCCCCAATCAGATAGGCCGAAGATAGATTTGTCCCAAACAACCTGCGCTGTTGGGTCCTCGTTTTGAGGAGACGGTCCCCGCATCTCCTCCTCCTCCTCCTCCTCCTTTTCCCTCCCCCCTCCTCTCATCACCATCATCATCATCATCATCATCATCATCATCATAATCATAATCATAATCATCATCATCATCATCATCATCATCATTATCATCATCATCATCATCATCATCCCCATCAGCATCATCATCACCAGCAGCATCAGCATCATCCGCATCGTCATCAGCAGCATCGTCACCATCGTCATCATCATCATCATCACCAACAACAACATCAGCATCATCACCGCCCAGTACAGCGTTTCGTGGCTCCACGGGGAGCGCCACCAAGGTCCCCGTGGCGCAGTCCGCATGCGTCCCCCCCCCCCCAATCCAACACAGCGCTTCGTGGCCCCATATGGGGCTCCACCGAAGGTCCCCGTGGCGCAGTCCGCATGCGTCCCCCCCCCCCCACCCAACACAGCGCTTCGTGGCCCCATATGGGGCTCCACCGAAGGTCCCCGTGGCGAAGTCCGCATGCGTCTCCCTCACCCAGTACAGCGCTTCGTGGCCCCATAGGGAGCGCCACCGAAGGTCCCCGTGGCGCAGTCCGCATGCGTCTCCACCACCCAGTACAGCTTTCCGTGGCCCCATAGGGAGCTCCACCGAAGGTCCCCGTGGCGCAGTGGGCATGCGGTTCCCCCACCCAATACAGCGTGTCGTGGCCCCCTAGGGAGCTCCACCGAAGGTCCCCGTGGCGCAGTCCGCGTGCGTCTCCCCCACCCAATACACCTCCGTCGGAGGCCGCCGGAGTTCCGCGCCTCGCTCGCCCGCCGTCGCTCTGCCCAGTGGCAAAAGGCCTGCCCGCTATCAGCCAGCCAGCTAGTTTTTTTGCTCCGCGCAGCGGACGACCCGCGCGCGTCGCTGGGACCCCTCCGGGGCGACCTGCGCGCGTCGCGGGGACTCCGCGCTGCGCTGCGCCCGCAGGATTGGACTTTTGAGTGCGCGGGCAAAGAGGGAGTAAACGAAGGGCAGGAAGCGGGCGCGATCCTCGCGGGGGGGCGCGCCGACATTGGCGTCGCGGCGCGCGGGCGATGCCGTCGGGGAGTCCCGGGGAAGCCCCTTGCGGCGGCCACGCCCAGCGTCACGAGTACTCAGAAGCAGTCATTCTCAAACTATTGACATTCAAATACAATTACACCATGCTTTGTCATACTCGCATTCATGCACGTAGACTCGCTCGCACGCATATTCATTCACAGTCAGACGCACTCGCGCTCAGAATCACCCGCGCCCAGTCTCCCTACGTACTCAGATCAATCGTTTTCGTTTGCGTTGTGTCACTCATTTCGGCACACCCCTAGCACGGTTCGTTGCCTCAGAGGGATCACCACCGAAAAAGTGAATCACAATTGCGGCACTCACCTTCGTCAGGCTAATTTAAGCCTCCCGTCACGATTCTTCTCGGGTCTGGGCGCCCTCGCTTGCTCGGGGCGTCCAAGGGGGGGGCGTTCACGAGGGGGCTCGTACACGAGGGGAGCTCGCAGATCGTGGCCCGAGGCATGTACGCGGCCCAAGAGAGGGGGCCAGGGAACGTGCTGAATCAAGAAGAGGGGCACTGAAATCTGGGGAAAGATGGTGGCCGCGGCCATGATGTCCACTCCCCCTCCTCCTCGATCCTCCTCGATCCTCCTTCTCCTCCTCCTCCTCCTCCTCCTCCCCCTCCTCCTCCTCCTCGATCCTCCTCCTCCTCGATCCTCCTCCTCCTCCTCCTCCTCCTCCTCCTCCTCCTCCTCCTCCTCCTCCAGCCTCCGACGGCAGCTCCGGGACGACCTGGGCGCCCCCGGAGACTCTCGGCGAGGCGCAGCTGCTGGAGAGCATCCCCGAGGCTGGAAAACCGCCGACAGCCGACGAAAACGCCCGTTAACCTCGACCCCACCCCAGACATGATCGCGTCGCTAAAAAATCAGGACGGCAAATGTTTCACTACTTTCGGCCCCTGGGGTCCCTCGTCGGGCCCCAGGACCGTCGAAAAACGGCTCAGGATGAAAAACCGGCCCCGGGGAAAGGATCGGGATTTCCAAGGACGCCGTCCTGAAAAAATCAAGACGTCGCATGTCTGGGACCCTGTCTGGGGAAACCAACAGGTACCGATACGGCTACTCTCCCGACCTCCCCAGGAGTGCGCTACTGACCAGGATGTCGAGGCGAGTCCAGCGGTGACGACGAGGGCATCCCAGGAAGCCCACACAGGCGAAATCGAGGCATTACTGTTGCGTCCCCCGCGCGCTGAGCCAGCCGCAGCGCCTGGGCGCGCGTATACGACGCCGAGGCGCGCCCACGCCAGCTCCAAGGCGCCCAGGCGCGCATCGGCTGCTCTACGTCGCCGCCGCCGCCGCCACCGCCGCCGCTGCCGCCGCCGCCACATTACCTATCGGTCGGAAGAAGTAGGTAGAAACACGAAGTAGGAAAGCCTTGAAAGTAGATAGGGTTCCGTCCGCCTTCTGAGGAGGACGGAAAACAGGTGAAGCCACTCGATCATGGAAGGAGGGCGCTTATTAAAGTAGATCTGGAATATGGGAATCCAAGAATACCTGTCTTCAACGACCGATGGGTATTGCTTTGCCGTGCGCACCCAGCGCGCTCGAGCGCACAGCGCTGCGGCTTCGCCTTGGCGCCCCGGCGCAAGCGCGCGCGCGGCCCCACTCACTGGGCGTGCCGCCCGCCGCCGCCGAAGCCTTCGCGCCGAGCTCAGTCCGCCGCCGGCGGCGACGGCCCCGGGTCCCGCAGGTGCGCCAGCGGGTAGCCCAGCTCCCGCACCTGGGCCAAGAGGGAGCGGAAGCTACTTGGATCGCCGCGGTGGTTGCTAAGGGGATGGTAGGGGTTTGAAATGGATGCTAAAGTGGGTCTGATCTTGCCTAACCCACGTTGTAAGTGGGTTGCAAGGGCCCTATGTGGCTTAGGATGATGGGCTAAATCCGCAAAGTGGGCTCCGCCCACTTAGCCCAGATCTGTACACCCTTGAGCCACTTCGGGCAATGCATTGCAACCCCACAAATCTATTGCACCAAATCTATTGCACCACCCCCTTGTCGCTGGACCCCCTGTTGGGTCAACCCGAGCCACGAGGGAGCGGAGGCTGGAGGAACGAAGAACGACATAAGCATAAAAGCTCGGAAGTCCGAGCGGATTTCTCGGATCCGCGATGCCCCCCCTCCCTCCCCGGCGACGCCTCCGGCGCCGTCCCTGGAGCGCTCCGCGCGAAGGAGGAGGGTCCAGCCAGCGCAGGTCCGAGGAATCGGCGCGGACCGCCGAGTTATTATGTTTAGGTCATTCTCCGTTCTCCTAGAAGCGACGACCCCAGCGCTCGGGCCGCCCGATGCGCAGGTGCTGCTTCTCGGAGGAGGAAGAGGCACCGATACCGCCAACCTCTTGCCTCGTTCTCGCTCGTGTCGGCCTCCCGGAAGGCCCTCGCCCCAAATCAATTGCAGCCCCACAAATCGACTGCACCAAGTGTATTGCACCACTTTGTTCTCGCTGGACCCCCTTGTGGGTCAACCAGATTCTCGGTATCGCTCGGACGTCCATTCCCCGTGAATTGGCTGATTTCTGGCGTTTTTGTTGCCAGATGATCCAGGATACTCCTCGAGTGTCCTCGCCGAGAAAAAAAGAACACGTCCGAGCGATGCCTAGGATTTGGCGGGTGTTCCAGCCTCGGAATGCTCTCCTGCAGCTGCGCCTCGCCGAAGACGCTTCCCGGGGGTGCCCGCATCGTCCCAAGCGGCCGCCGGAGACCGGAGACAATCCGATCGATGGCCTGGAAACACCGAAGCCAGATCTCCGACGACCCAGAAGACCGACCTTCGTCCTGCAGAAGCGCCTGTAGGAGGCGTATTCCCCCTCCTCCCTTTGTGATGCTCCTCCTCCCCCTCCTCCCTCTTCTTCCTCCCCAAACTCCCCATCGTCATCCGCATCTCGTCCCATCCTCCTTCTTCCTCCTCCTCCTCCTCCTCCTCCTCCTCCTCCTCTTCCTATCCTCGTTATTCCTCCCTTCTCAAACTCTTCTTGTCGAAAAAAACATAAACATAAACTTGTGGCGCTCCGAGCGGATTTCTTGGATCTGCGCTGGACCCCCCCTCCCTGGCGCGCGGAGCGCGCCAGGGGCAGCGCCGGAGCCGCCGCCAGGGGGTCCCAGCGCAGATCCAAGAAAGCCGCGCGGCGCCACAAAAGTTTGTGTTTATGACGTTTTCTCCTCTTCGATCTTCTTCGTCCTCCACATCCGTCCTGGGACCATTGCCCTGGTTCGGGGGGGGTTGGGGCAAAGATAAGGGTTGGAAGGAAAATCGCTCCGGACGGCCCCTGGAAGAAGGAAACGCGCCAAGCGAGAGCATCCAGCTGGGCCCGCTCCCTGGCCCAACCTGGGGACAGTCCTCCCCTCGACGAGCCCCCGACTGGTGAGGCGACCTCTGCGCCACCCGGAGACTTAGCAGCAGCACGCCCTTCGATTCTGAGAAAAATCCGGGCGCGCTTGTCCCAGCTCTGCGGCCCTCGGGGGCCGCTGCCGGGCCGCGGGGCGATCCAAGAGACAGATCCGGATCGGAAATTCTCAAGGCTTAGGTCGGGCATGTACCCCTACAGAGCAAAGTCAAACATGCTCCAAAAATACATGGAATACTGGAAAAAACGCCCCCTGACTATTTTGTAACTATTATTGAACATCCCTCCTGTAGAGGGACATGCCCGACTCAACTCAAGGAGCGGGGGCGACGAGCCCGGAGCTCCGAGGCTCTCCAGAAGTCCCCAGGGGCTTTTAGAGCACCCATCACGAGGCCCAGAGGCCCTCAGAGGTCCTCCTCCTCCTCCTCCTCCTCTTCCTCTTCCTCCTCCTCCTCCTCCTCCTCCTCCTCCTCCTCCTCCTCCTCCTCCTCCTCCCCCTCCCCCTCCCCCTCCTCCTCCTCCTCCTCCTCCTCCTCCTCCTCCTCCTCCTCCTCCTCCTCCTCCTCTCCTCCTTCCTCCTCCTCCTCCTCCTCCTCCTCCTCCTCCTCCTCCTCCTCCTCCTCCTCCTCCTCCTCCTCCTCCTCCTCCTCCTCCTCCTCCTCCTCCTCCTCCGCCTCCTCCTCCTCCTCCTCCTCCTCCTCCTCCTCCTCCTCCTCCTCCTCCTCCTCCTCCTCCTCCTCCTCCTCCTCCTCCTCCTCCTCCTCCTCCTCCTCCCCCCCCCTTACATCGAGGCAGACACGTGTTTTCGGGCCCTTGCGAGTCGGCACTCTGCGAGTAGTGAGTAGTGGAACGCGCTCGGTGATACTTAGAAGGCGGCGGGACTTCCCAGAGGCCCTCGCGCCTTCTGAGAGTTTGTTTTCTGCGTCTTCGAGGGCTCCGAACACTTCTCGGGAGAGTGGGGGGCTTCCGAGCCTTCTGAGAAGGCCTGCTCCGTCTCATTTCCCCGCCTCGCTCGCCGCCAAGACATGTTTTTTACCTAACAGCGAAGACTGATAGGTTTCTAGTGGGGTCAAAAGAGAGCATCTTGACGCCCCAGGGGGGTCTGGGCGGGATCCGGACAAAACCAGACAAAACCGGCAGCCCCAGGAATCCTTAGGAATCCTTGCGAATTCTTAGGAATCCTTAGGAATCCATTCCCAGAACACCATTCCCAGGCCACATGTTGAATGCCCGGAGCCAACTGTAGGCCACTTCGTGTTCTTCGTGTTCCCAGAACACCATTCCCATGCCACAGTTTGAATGCCCGGAGCCAACTGTAGGCCACTTTGTGTTCTTCGTGTTCCCAGAACACCATTCCCAGGCTACAGTTTAAATGCCCGGAGCCAACTGTAATCCACTTCGTGTTCTTCGTGTTCCCAGAACACCATTCCCAGGCCACATTTTGAATGTCCGGAGCCAACTGTAGGCCACTTCGTGTTCTTCGTGCTCCCCGAACACAATTCCCAGGCCACATTTTGATTGCCCGGAGCCAGCTGTGAGGCTGGGGCTGAAGCAGGCTGAGGCTGAGGCAGGCTGAGACTGAGGCTGAGGCAGGCTGCGGCTGAGTCTGAGGCTGATGCAGGCTGAGGCTGAGAGGCTGACGCTGAGGCTGAGGCAGGCTGAGGCTGAGGCTGAGGCCGAGGCAGGCTGAGGCTGAGGCTTAGGCAAGCCGAGGCAGGCTGAGGCTGAGGCTGAAGCGGAGGCAGGCTGAGGCTGAAGCGGTGGCTGAGGCTGAGGCAAGCTGAAGCTGAGGCAGGCTGAGGCTGAGGCTGAGGCTGAGGCTGAGGCTGAGGCTGAGGCTGAGGCTGAGGCTGAGGCTGAGGCTGAGGCTGAGGCTGAGGCTGAGGCAGAGGCTGAGGCTGAGGCTGAGGCTGAGGCTGAGGCTGAGGCTGAGGCTGAGGCTGAGGCTGAGGCTGAGGCTGAAGCTGAGGCAGGCTGAGGCTGAGGCTGAGGCTGAGGCTGAAGCTGAGGCAGGCTGAGGCTGAGGCTGAGGCTGTGGCTGAGGCTGAGGCAAGCTGCGGCTGAGTCTGAGGCTGAGGCTGAGGCTGATGCAGGCTGAGGCTGAGAGGCTGACGCTGAGGCTGAGGCAGGCTGAGGCTGAGGCTGAGGCAGGCTGAGGCTGAGGCTGAGGCTTAGGCAAGCCGAGGCAGGCTGAGGCTGAGGCTGAAGCTGAGGCAGGCTGAGGCTGAGGCTGAGGCTGTGGCTGAGGCTGCGGCAAGCTGCGGCTGAGGCAGGCTGAGGCTGAGGCTGAGGCAGGCTGAGGCTGAGGCAGGCTGCGGCTGAGGCTGAGGCAGGCTGAGGCAGGCTGAGGCCGATGCAGGCTGAGGCTCAGGCCGAGGCAAGCCGAGGCAGGCTGAGGCTGAGGCTGAAGCTGAGGCAGGCTGCGGCTGAGGCTGAGGCTGTGGCTGAGGCTGAGGCAAGCTGCGGCTGAGTCTGAGGCTGAGGCTGGTGCAGGCTGAGGCTGAGGCAGGCTGAGGCTGAGGCTGAGACCGAGGCAGGCTGAGGCTGAGGCCGAGGCAAGCCGAGGCAGGCTGAGGCTGCGACTGCGAGAACAGCAGAATTCTACAACTGGATTCTCACCTGAATCGTAAGGGGAATGCTTCCAGATATGCTTATACACATCGCTGTTAGGTTGCTTTGCCCGGATAATTCAATCGGGGCGGTTTTCCTCGCAGTCGGCCCTCGGGGGCCGTTTTCGGGCAGCGGGACCATCCAAAAACGGATCCAGAACGAAAAACTACTCCCCAGGGGTGGGGCAGGCCTTCTCAAGAGCTCTGCGGCCGCGCGGCACCTGCACCCGAGCAACAAAGGAGCGGAGCCGACGATACTTGGATCGATGCGGGGACGGCTGAGGGGATAGGGAAGAAGCGGATGCTGGAGTTTGTTCCTTTGTGTCCTGACCTAGCTTGTGAGCGTGGTGGTCCGAGAACTCCGCGCGGATTTGTACTGGATCTGCGCTGCACCCCCCCCTCCCTGGCGCCGATCTAGAGAAAAGTCCGCGCGGAGCTTCGAGAAATGATGCTTTTTATGTCGTGTTCTGTACTTCGACAGAGCCACGGAAGGAGCGGGGGCGACGAACCCAGAGCTCCGAGGGTATTTTCTAAATGTTCTAAAAAAACAAAAAAAAAAAAAAAAAAAAAACAATCGGAGCGGTCTTCCTGGGTGTCGGCCCTCGGGGGCCAAGTTCGGAACACGGGGCCATCAAAAAACGGCTCCGGAACGAATTGCTACCCCCGGGGATGGGAAGCGAGGGGGGGCAGGCCTTCCCAAAGGCGGCGGGGCTTCTCAGAGGCCCCCCCCTGCTTTCTGAGGAGGGGCCCTCCTGCGGCTGCGGAGAGGGGCTTCAGAGAGCTGCTCGAAGGGCCAGAGGCCTTTCTGGGCCTTCTGAGAATCTCACCCTCCTGGTCGCGCCGCCGCGCCGGGGGGGTCGCGCCTTCCCCTCCGGTTGCGCCGCCGAGCCTGGGGATCGGAGGCGACGACAGGGGCGAATAGCCAAGGGGCGTGCGCTGCTCTGAAGGTCGGAAAGGGGTGTGGCAGAAAGGCGTGTGGTGCCAATGCTGAGCCTGGCGGTGCCACCCAACCTAGAGAGCATCTCCATTCCCACGATTGGCATCACACCCCTTTTGTGCCACACCCCGTCCCTGACTCCAGAACTGCACGTGCAGCAGTCGAGTTTGACTGGCAGGTTTGCTGGGAAGCCTCGCCGAAGACAGCAATGGGCCACTGGCGCCCCCGGGTACGTGCACTGCACTCTCTCTCTCTCTCTCTCTCTCTCTCCCGGATATTTCGCTCGCCCCCACCGTCGCCTCCGGGAGCCGTTGGGGCTCCTCCTCCTCCTCCTCCTCCGATTTGGCCGCGCGGTGGCTTCTTGCGCGCGCGTTGGAAGGGGGCGCGCTAGCGCGAGAGCGTGCGCGGGCAGCTTGCGCGCCAGTGCCCATGCAGTCGGCCCCGCCTGCTTTCACTCGTCGATGGGCTGACGATTCCTGCTGTCCCTCGACTCGCGCTGGGGCGTCGACGGTGTGCTCCAGGTTGGCCTGGACGTCTCTACGTCTGCCCAGATGTGTCTGCATCTGCGTGTGCCTCGACTTCGCTGGATCCACCTCGACGCACCTCGATGCATCGAGCTTGATCCCCACAAGTCGATTGGAGACGAGTCGCCCAGCCCTTTGGACTCTGCCCCGCCCGCCTGGGGGTCGGGCGATCCGAGAGCGAAGCCCAGCAGCTTCGTGACGCAGCCGCACTCGTCCTCGCGGATCCCAAACGATCGCGCGAAAATCCACGGCGGGCGCTCTCGCCCAATTCGGCGACGCGCAAGAGTGACCCTGGCTAAGAGTGACCTTTGGTGCTCGGCCTCTTGGGGGCCACGGGAGGGCCAGACACAAGCGCGCAAGACACCACTGCCGCTTCGCGTTCGGCGATCGGGGGACTCCAGTGGGCCCACACCGACGGTCACTCTGGCGAAGGGTCACTCTCACGTGCAGCTGACCAGTGCGTCGGGCTCTGGGACCCTCACGGGCCGATCCGCCTCGAGAGATGCTGCGGGGAGATGGGGTCGAGGCTCTACACGTTTCGGCTGCGTGCTTTGGCGATGTTCCGCGGCGTGGGATCTCGGGTCGGTCCGCGTCGCCCCAGCGTCGGGCTCTGGGACCCTCACGAGTCGATGCATCTCGAAACATACCGCAGGGAGTTGGGGTCGAGGGCTCTGCATAGTGTTTGCTTATGTGCTTTGCGATCTTTAACAGCGTGGGATGGAGAGGGATCGGTCCGCGAAGCAGAAGTCGGACACCGCCCGGGGGTGGACCTGGGCGATGCCTCCGAGGACCCTGCAGGCCGACAGGAGCACGTCCTCGGCCACGCCATGCACGGCGACCTTGGCCGTGATGAACCGCAGCACCGTCGGCAGGTGCTCCTGGGCCGCCGCGAGCGACGAGGTCTCTCGGAGCCCCTGGCACGCAGAAGACACCGATGCACCACCACCGTGACTGGACAGGGCCATCGAAGGCCCTGGCATGGTGTATACACCCTCCTGGCCGAGGCCAACAGCTCCTGCACTGCAACCTACAACCCTGGGCGACACCTCAAAAGTTATTGACGCGCCCCTGCAAGGTCGTCCCCTTCACCCTATCGGTGTCGCCCCCGCCAAAATCGAAGCAGAGCGAAGCGCGGTCAGGACCGGCGCTAGTCGGAAAGTTTACGACGACCAACACTGGAGAGGAGGCACCAACAAGCACTTCGCACGCAATGCCACCCGTACCCAGAACATCAGATACACGGGCAATTTACGTCGCGCATGTTTGAGGCTCAGTATGTCGGAGGTAGTTTGTAGAGTTGCAACGGCAACATCCCGCTGGGAACGGACTATGCAGGAAACCAGCTGAAATAGTCCGAGACGTGTACACCAGCATTGTGTGGAACAAATGCTGGAACATGTCAAGAGCAGCTCTGAAGTAGTAGTACACGTGAGTGCTGATGAGTTTTCCCGGGCAACAACGCGAGGCACATGTAGTGTGCCTCCGCCCCCGCGCACTTCGACTGGATTCGCGGAGCAGCGCTTCACCGTCTGGCGCGGCCACCTCCCCGAAGCACCTGGCCGTCAGCGAATGCAGCAGCAGTGCCAGGGCCCGGGAGGGACCTGGCCAGGCATCCGGGTGGTGCAGCTGTGCCTCCTGCGAACCTGGACGACGTCCGCGTACGCTGCCATCAGGGCGTCGGCCAGCTCGCGGCGCCTCTCGCGCGGGCGGGAGACACGCGGCTGGGAACTTCTGCTCAGCGTGTCGCGGCGGCGGCCCCAGCGACACGCTCTGCCTTGCCTGCGGGCATCGCCAGGTCGGGCATGTCCTCCTACAGGCGGATTCTGAAGGAAAATGCAAAGTAGTCAGAAAACTACTGACAAGACCCCCCCCCGAAAAAAAAACGCCCTCGTACGATTTGCTTGACTATTGTTAAGAAATCCTCCTGTAGAGGGACAGGCCCGACTAGAGGACAACGTGCCTCTCCGCTTCGCGAGTGGGAGGCCGGACAATAAAAAAGCTTGGCCCGTGGACGCTCGGGGACGAAAAGCACGTGGGGGCAGCGTGCCGCTCCAGGGCGTGCACAGGGCCAGGACCGGCGGGGCGACCTGCTGCCCAGCAGCTCCTGCCCGTGCCCACCAGGGGCGGCCAAGCGGGGGGCGTCCCAAGAGGGGCGGGGGGCGCAAAAGTCGTGGCCGGCGGCGCGTGCGCGGCCCGGGGGGTGGGGGGCCCGGGGACGCCTCGGAAGGAGCAGGAGCGCCATGAGGTCTGAGGAGACGTCATGGCCCCCGCCGCGAGATCCAAGGCCCCCCTGGCCATCGCCCCCTTCGTGGCGCCGCCCCCGAATCCACATCCCTCCTGCGGCGGCGCGCGGGGGGGGGTTCCCCCCGGCCTTCCGACCTCTCGGGAGCCTCTCGGCCTCCCGAGAGGCCTTCGGAGCATTCCCCGGAGACAGAGAAACCTCCTCAGACGGCGCGAGGGCTTCTGAGAGAAGTCCCGCCGCCTTCTGAGAAGGCGAGAAGGCCTTCTCCCTCTCACGTCCCCCTCGCTCGCCGCCGAGCTGTGGGCAGCCACTCGCCATCGCTCGGACGTCCGACTCCCCGTGCATGTATCGGTTTCGTGCGTGCATGTGCTTCGCACAGGATGGCCCGAGAGATGCTCCTCGATGGCCCTCTCCGAGAAAACACACACACACACACACACGCACACACACACACACACACCACACACACACACACACACACACACACACACACACACACACACACGCCCGAGCGATGCCAGAAGCGCTCGCCGCCGAGCCGTGGACGGGCCTCCGTGGGCGAGCAGGTGGCACACGGGCCGCGAGGGCAGGGGCCGCCCGCTCTGGCCACTCTCAGGTCGGGCATGTCCTCCTACAGGCGGATGCTGGAAGGAATGCTCGAAGGTGATCAAAAAGCAATGGAGAGACCGCCCCCATGCTGCTGTTTGTGCTGATGTTTGAATATACCCCCTGCAGGGCGGAAGGCCCGACTTCAGGCCACTTACCCGGCCCCTCACGCTCTCCGACTACGGACCGGTTGCGCACGGCAGGCTCGTGTGGCGATAACGTGAGGTCGGGCGTGTCCCCCTACAGGCGGATCTTGGACGGATACATCAAAAAATAATCCAACTAATACTCCCAAATAGTCAAAAATACAACAACAACAACAATCATTTAAGACTGGGGACACTCCGTTCTCACCAGTGCCAGGGTTTTCATAGGAGGCGGGCAATACCCCCACTTTGTGGGGGGGCCGGTTCAAGCTCTACCAAATTTCCAAACGACTCTTCGCCACCACCCACACCCAGCTTCCCGCCCTATGACGTTCGGACACTTCACTTCGTGGCATGCGGACGACCGTGGCTACTATTCAGGGCCCCGCGGCCGACGACGACGGCGTGCGCGCGCGAAGAAAAAACGAATGTGTCCAATATGGTATTATTTGACAGGGATGATGGCCCTGGCATGCGCGCAACCGTTGTTGCAGAAGTTCGAAGCACGTGAAAAAGTTGCTCGCAAGAGCCCGTTTGACAGAAATGTTGAAAAAAATATTGGGTTTCCTCAGAAATCCGCAAGAGCGCGCAAGATGAATTTTGATTTTTTTTTTTGAAAAACCATTGGGTTTTTCATGTTTTTATGTTAAAATCGCTACGAAAACTAAGGTTTTGGAAGGATTTCATCTTGCGCGCGCGAGTGTGCACTTCGTGTCATTTTTTGCAAGGGATTCTTGAAGTTTGGTTATGTTAGAACAAGAAATTTCATTTTATAGTGTTTTTTGCAAGGGAAAGCGGGCGTCAACAAAACAACCGGATCCGGACACCCCGTTTTGCCTGAGACTTCCTCACGAAAATGATGAAAATGTGGCTGCGGCCTAGGCGCGGCGGGGGGGCGCGCACCAGGGGCCCCAACAATAATTATTCTTTAGAATAAATAATGTTCAATTATTTAGACTGGGGACACTCCGTTCTCACCAGTGCCAGGGTTTTCATAGGAGGCGGGCAATACCCCCACTTTGTGGGGGGGCCGGTTCAAGCTCTACCAAATTTCCAAACGACTCTTCGCCACCACCCACACCCAGCTTCCCGCCCTATGACGTTCGGACACTTCACTTCGTGGCCTGCGGACGACCTTGGCTACTACACTGGCGCATGGGTACAATGACTTGTTGTGGTAACATTTTGTGGAAGCTAGCTTAGTATACGACTTTTCCCCCTGCAATTGAAGATTTCGGCGTGCGCGCGCGAAGAAAAAACGAATGTGTCCCATATGGTATTATTTGACAGGGATGATGGCCCTGGCAGGCGCGCAACCTTTGTTGCAGAAGTTCGAAGCACGTGAAAAAGTTGCTCGCAAGAGCCCGTTTGACAGAAATGTTGAAAAAGTATTGGGTTTCCTAAGAAATCCGCAAGAGCGCGCGGGGTGAATTTTTGAAACCCTTTTTTTGAAAAACCATTGGGTTTTTCATGTTTTTATGTGAAAATCGCTACGAAGACTAAGGTTTTGGAAGGATTTCGTCTTGCGCGCGCGAATGTGCACTTCGTGTCATTTTTTGCAAGGGATTCTTGAAGTTTGGTCATGTTAGAACAAGAAATGTCCACTTTGCCTTATTTTTTGCAAGGGAAAACCGATCGTAACAACACAACCGGATCCGGACACCCCGTTTTGCCTGAGACTTCCTCACGAAAATGATGAAAATGTGGCTGCGGCCTAGGCGCGGCGGGGGGGGCGCGCACCAGGGGCCCCAACAATAATTATTCTTTAGAATTAATAATGTTCAACAACAACAACAACAACAACAACAACAACAACAACAACAATTACTAGCACGTGGGGACACTCCGTTCTCACCAGTGCCAGGGTTTTCATAGGAGGCGGGCAATACCCCCACTTTGTGGGGGGGCCGGTTCAAGCTCTACCAAATTTCCAAACGACTCTTCGCCACCACCCACACCCAGCTTCCCGCCCTATGACGTTCGGACACTTCACTTCGTGGCATGCGGACGACCGTGGCTACTATTCAGGGCCCCGCGGCCGACGACGACGGCGTGCGCGCGCGAAGAAAAAACGAATGTGTCCCGCATGGTATTATTTGACAGGGATGATGGCCCTGGCAGGTGCGCAACCGTTGTTGCAGAAGTTCGAAAAAGTTGCTCGCAAAAGCCCGTTTGACAGAAATGTTTAAAAAGTGTTGGGTTTCCTACGAATCCGCAAGAGCGCGCGGGATGAAAGTTTGACAATTTGTTTTTGAAAAACCATTGTTTTTTATGTTTTTATGTTAAAATCGCTACGAAAACTAAGGTTTTGGAAGGATTTCGTCTTGCGCGCGCGAATGTCCACTTTACCTTTTTTTTGCAAGGGATTCTTGAAGTTTGGTTATGTTAGAACAAGAAATGTCCACTTTAGCTTATTTTTTGCAAGGGAAAGCGGGGGACAACAAAACAACCGGATCTGGTACACATCGTTTTGCCTGAGGCTTCCTCACGAAAATGATGAAAACGTGGCTGCGGCCTAGGCGCGGCGGGGGGGGCGCGCACCAGGGGTCCCAACAATAATTATGCTTAAGAAGAAATAATGTTCAACAACAACAACAACAACAGCAACAACAACAACAACAACAACCATTTTAAGGCTGTGCGCTCTTACTTGCCCGCGAGTCATTCAACACGTATACCCTACACCCTCGATGCCCGCCCTCTTCGTCTTCGATCACACCCCTTTCGGGGGGATTATTTCTCTTTGCTGGGGCCGGCGGGCTTAGACGTACGGGCAAACCGGAACGGGCGGACAATCCTTCGGGGGCGTACATCTCTCTGCCCGCCATTGGAATTGGCGCGGGCCCTGCAAGAGGAGGAGGGGAAGAACGAGGGAGAGTGGGAGGAAGGGGAGGGGGAAGGACGAAGGAAGAGGGAAGATACCACGTTGTGAAGGCGTCCTTGGCGCGTGCGTGGTTCCTGAGCGCCGAAACGCAATTCCAGAATAATTTGTGAGGACGTCGCACGCGAGAGCGCAGTCCTGAGTACATTGTGAAAAAATCTCAGGCGGAAGCGGGGGCCCTGACTAAGTTGCGAGGAAGTCTCAAGCGGGAGCGCCGTTCCTGAGCAAATTGCACGGAAGTCTCAGGCGGGAGCGGGGGTCCTCACTAAATTGCGAGGAAGTCTCAGGCGGGAGCGCCGTTCCTGAGTCAATTGCGCGAAATGTCAGGCAGGAGCGGGGGTCCTGAGTAAAATTCGAAGAAGTCTCAAGCGGGAGCGCCGTTCCCACGTAAATTGCACGGAAGTCTCAGGCGGGAGCGGGGGTCTTGATTACATTGCGAGGAAGTCTCAGACGGGAGCGCCTTTCCTGAGTAAATTGCGCGGAAGTCTCAGGCGGGAGCGGGGGTCCTGAGTAAAAACGAGGAAGTCTCATGCGGGAGCCGTTGTTGTTGTAGCCCGGGGGGCAGGGGCACAGTTTGAGCAGGAAGACTTTCCTTTAGAAAAAACAAGGTGCGAACCCCGGGGGTGGCACTTCAATTGAAAAAAATCAATGTGCACCGGTGGGGTGGGATCAACAATAATTATTCTTCCAGAATGAGAGTTCAACAACAACAACAACAACAACAACAATCGTCCCCAGAGCATGTTTTAACTATTTTTTAATTCTCCTCCTGTAGAGGGACGTGCCCGACTTAACGAAAACGCCGACGCTGGTTTCTGACACCGCGTCGATCGTTCCACCTCGAACCGATCACGGCCCCGATCGTTCTCGAGATTAAGTTCAGTCGGGTCGAGTGACGTTGCCATTTCCATCGGTGCTTCCGCGTCGCAGGCTTCAGCCTTGAACGCGTTCGCCGGCGTCGCCGGCGCGCCAACGCCGCGTGAACCTACCGTACAGACACGCAGCGGCCCACAGGGAGCAGGATGCCCGCAGGCTCGCGAACTGACTACCTACCAGACCACCCCAGCCCAACACGAAGACACAAACTTTGGGTGTGGGGCGGGGGGTACGGGTCTTCCATATGTGCTTTTTCAATGCTCCCCGCCGCCGCCCCCCTCTGGGAGTGGGTGGCAAATCGGGGCCTTCGGGTTGGGTTGGGGTGGCTTGGTGGGTGGTGACTGACGACATACAATCGAGCTGCTGCAATGAGAAAGGCCCTCGGAGGAACGAAGCCCCTGCTTTGTAACAGGCTGAGGGGGCGCCAACGGTCCTCATGTTAAAATATCCGAAGCTCGGAAAAGTGTGAGGCCAATGCTTTTTTCAAAGTTCAAGGTCAACGTTGCTGGAATCCTGAAGTCCTGAAAAGGTTCGGAAAAGTTCGGCAGCGATAAACAAGTTCTGAAAAAGTTCAGATAGCGCTCGACAGACAGGAAAAGGTTAGAAAAAGTTCCAGCAGTCCAAAAAAACGAAGACAGCTCAAAAGCTCAAACAACGAAACCAAACTTATCAGCAACAAAAACTCTTCAAAAAAGTTAGCCAGAAGTTCGAAAGTGCAAAACAAATCAAAAGTTTGGAAGAGTCATCGTCGTGCCAGGGGGCCGTCTTGAACTTATTTCGAACTTTCGTATTTTAGGGAGTTCTAACTACACCTGTTGATTTTCCATCTGCCCAAACCCATTCTTGTTCAGGAGAGACCATCTCTCCCCCCATCAGCCGGTCACTATAGAAGAGCCCGGGTGCGCGAGGAGGGCCAAAAGAACAGCCACGGAGTGACCGAAAGAACCGCGGTCCCCTTCCTGGGAGGGGCTCGATAAATATATGTGAATATGTGTTTATATGTATGACGCTACGTGTATATATGTGTAACTTATATAAATATATACATACAGATATATTTATATATATATATATATACATACATACATACATACATACATACAGACAGACATACATACATACATATATACATACATACATACATACATACACAACGTCAGCTGGTCGGCCAGGGAGCTCGGTGTATAGACGCCCCAGCTGCCCGACCCCTGCGAGGCCAGAGCGTCTATATACACCGACCTCCTCCGCCGAAACTCCCTGCCTCCCCGGCCGACCAAGCGACGTGGTGCATATACACATCGAGCCCTTCCGACTTCGGAAACCAAAGCGGCCCCTACTTTGAGCTCCGGCATGTCCCCCTACAGGCGACAAATCCTCCCCCATACTACTTTTCTGCTATTTTTGAACCTTCCTCCTGTAGAGGGGCAGGCCCGACTTAACCCTACTTCAGCGTCTTGACTCGGGTCGGGCGAAAGGGGGGGATAGCAAAGGGGGGGGGTGAAAATCAGCTCACGTAGCTGATTTTCCAGGCGCCTCCCAGCGCCGGAGGCGGTCATGTATCGAGGAATGGGCCCCTCGGTGAGGCCGAAACCAGCCGTATGCAGCACATTTTCCGTACCCCCCCCTTTCCCAATCCCCCCCCTCTTCGCCCGGCCCGATGGACTAGGTCGACATCCACTTGCTCGCGGCCCGAACTCCGCGCGGCCGCGACGCCCCTGTGGATGCAGGGTGGTGGCTCTGTGCGGAGCGCAGAGGTGCATGTGGGTGCAGGGTGCCGCGACGCCCCTGTGGATGCCGGGTGGCTCTGTGCGTGGACGTGCCCTCTGCGCGGAGCGCATCCGAACGGTGACCGCGCGCCTCGGAGGACGGGCCGAGACGACGGCAGCCCCAAACAGGTCGGTCTCCGGACCCCTCCAGAGGGTCCAGACGCAGGAGTTCCCCGAGCTTCATGTTGCTCCCATCGCACTTAAGAACTTGCGAGGCCGCAGCGATTTTGAATTGCAAAAAAAAATCAACATGTCGGCTTCCTGAAATTGGGCCTTGGGAAGGCATCGTAGAACGCCCGCGCGTTCTCGCATTGTCGCGCGCCGCCTGCCCCTGCCGCTGAACAGACCTGCGCGCGCTGCGGCGGCGCGACCAAGGCGGGCCCGAAACCAAAGCGCGATGTGGTTCTTAGAACCACATCCCAGAAACAAGCTCGAGCACCCAGCAAAGCATCGAGACAGTGTCGAGCGAGCATCGCCCCCCAGGGCCCGATGCGCGAAAACCATCCAGCTTCGGTATTTCCTTGGTGCTCGGAAGTCTTTTGGGTGATCAAGGCTCAAGCAGGTTGGAACATCATAGCCCGAGCTGCGACCAGCCGTGGCGACGAGGGCCTCCCCCCCCCCCCCTCCGGAGGCCAACCGACGCTGCCTCGACGCGTCCTCCTCCGAGTGCCCACGTGGGATCGCGCCTCGGAGCCCGGGCCACGAGGCGGGCATCGACGCCCCACCTCGTCGACCGCCAGACGCTCGCGCACGCCGACGCACTGCTGAAACGAAACTCCGAGGACACACAGTCAGGTCGGGCATGTACCCCTGCGGGCGGACTCTGGACGAAAAATAGAACAACATCCTCCAGCAGATATTTCCAACAGCAAGAGTAGTCGAACACTCGTCCCCTTCCTGTTTCTTGACTGCTCTTGACCGGCTTACACATACAGGGAGCCTGAGAGGGCATCAGCACATCTCCAAAGTCGTGGCCTTCGTCCCACGCGGACCCCCCAGAGGTGCAGCCCCCCGGCGCTTCCTCTAAGAGAGGATATGTCGACCCCTATCCCAGGCTTCGCGGGGGTTTCGAACGGCCCAAGGGGCCCAACCCTGGGATGTACGATGGGGGGGCGCCAGTCCCAGATAGGGGTGCGTCCGAATCGACCCCCGGGGGTGTATGCCAGGGTTGCCCTCCTTTACTGAGCGGCTTCACTTTTCATCGAAAAGTCGGGGGTTGGGAGGGAAAGTTGCATGCGCTCATCCTGAATCATTGTTTGACAGTCCCGGGGCCCGGCGAGGGCCCCGGGAGGCCAAAAAATGCGAAGCACCTCCCATCACGAACTGTCTTGACCCGAGGGGGCCTGGGCGTCCAAGAGGGGGGGGGGGCATCCAAGGGGGTGGCTGGAAATACGCACTGAAATCAGAAGCGGGGCCATGAAACCTGGGGAATTTCCTCCCCCCCCTCCTCCTCCTCCACCTCCTCCTCCTCCTCCCCCTCCTCATCTTCCCCCTCCTGCTCCTCCTCCACCTCCTCCTCCGTTCTCCTTCCACCCCTCCCCCTCCTCCTCCTCCTCCTCCTCCTCCTCCTTCTCCTCTTCCACCCCATCCACCTCCCGCCCCCCCTCCCCCTCCCCCTCCGCCTCCGTCTTCCCCTCCGCCTCCGCCTCGTCTTCCTCCTCCCCTCCTCCTCCTCCCCTCCTCCTCCGCCTCCTCCTCCTCCGCCTCCACCTCCTCCTCCTCCCTCCTCCTCCTCCTCCTCATCATCATCATCATCATCATCAGCATCAGCATCAGCATCAGCATCAGCATCAGCATCAGCATCAGCATCATCATCATCATCATCATCATCCTCCTCATCCTCCTCATCATCATCATCATCATCATCATCATCATCATCATCATCATCATCATCATCATCATCATCAGCATCATCATCATCATCATCATCATCATCATCATCATCATCATCATCATCATCATCATCATCATCATCATCATCATCATCATCATCATCATCATCATCATCATCATCGCGCCCCATGTCAGCCTGTGGCAGGGTCATCAGCTCGTCGTTGTCGTTGTCGTCGTGGTTGTCGCCGTCGTCATTCCGGGTCGGCGGCACCGGCCGTAAGGCCTTCACAATCACAAGAGAGGCCATGAAACCTGGGAAAACGTCATGGCCCTGGTCATGACATCCACCTACCTCTAGCTCTCACCCCCACCTTCGGCGTCTGGCGGCTTTCGACCCATAACTCGGACCTCAGGCGGCCGTTCGGGACGATCTGGGCACCCCCGGAACGCCCTCGGCGAGGCGCAGCTTCCAGAAAGCAATCCGCGGCTGGAAAACCGCCGAGAACCGACGAGAACATCCGAAAACCTTGAGCCCTTCACCCAACAGTATCCAGGGTCTGGAAGCTTGTGGATCCCAATGGATAGAAACCTCCCGTTGTTATTTGTAATCGACTGAACATCGTGCAACCGATCCCTATCCCAACTGGCGTGTCCTTGGTCCCACTGGACGATTTACCCCCCCAGGATGGGGATGCCACGAGGCCACGAGGCCTCCCAGGAGGCCCCCCCAAAGGCGAATCACAAGGCAAGGGCATTTGGATCGCCGCGGTGGCTGCTAAGGGGATGGGGGGGCTAGAAGTGTATGTTAAAGTGGGTTCTATCTGGCCTAACTCACCTTAAGTGGGTTACCAGTGCCCTATGTGGCTCAGGATGATGAGGCAACTCCGCTGAGTGGGCTCCACCCACTTCGCCCAGATCCGTACGCCCTTAAGCCACTTAGGGCACGTGCAGCCCACTTCTAAGCTGCGTTAGGCCGAGTAGCACCCACCTTAGCATCCAGTTCTAGCCCCCGTATCCACTTTGCAACCCGCGGCGATCCAAGCAGGGGTATCTGTACCTCCTCCTCCCCAGGAGCCCGTCACCCCCTGGCGCCGCAGCCAGCCGTCCGACATCCGCTGCACAGGCAGGGGACAGCCTTCAGGGAGGGAAAAAAGCACACAGACACAACGAATCGTCGATGACCAGGGCAAGATGGGGGAAAGTGTGGGCAGCGGGAGGGGAGACGAACATCCAGGAGAGACGGAACGACCCTGGCCTCCCAGAATTCTTAAAACATAGCTCTACATACCTGTGGACCTATCTGGACTGCCCAAAACCTCGATTGAAACTTAGGTGTCGAGGTCCCGGTGATATTTTTGTCAGCCCTCCAAGAAGGTCCAGAAATATGGGGAATCCTGGAATGTGCATATAAATATTGTGCTTGTGTGCGTGTGTGTATCTGTGTGTGTGTTTGTGCTGTGTATGTGCTGGGTGTGTGTTGTGCTTGTGTTGTGATGTGTTGTCTGTTGTGTGTGTTGTGTGTGCTGTGTGTGTTGTGTGTTGTGTGTTGTGTGTTGTGTGTGCTGTGTCGTGTGTGTTGTGTGTTGTGTGTTGTGTGTTGTGTACTGTGTGTTGTTTGTGTGTGTTTGTGTGTTATGGTGTGGTTGTGTGGTTGAGTGGTTGTGTGGCTGTGTGCTTGTGTGTTGTGTGTTGTGTGTTGTGTCATGTGCTGCGTGTTGTGTTGTATGTTGTGTGCTGTGGGTTGCGTGTTGTGTGCTGTGTTGTGTGTTCTGTGTTGCGTGTTGTGTGCTGTGTGCTGTGTGTCGTGTGTTGTGTGTTGTCTGTTGTGTGCTGTGTGGTGTGTGCTGGGTGTTGTGTGCTGTGTTGGGTGTTGTGTGTTGTGGTTCATGTGTTGTGTGTTGTCTGTTGTGTTGTGTGTTGTGTGCTGTGTGGTGTGTGAATGTGTTGAGCGTGTGTGCTGTGTGTTGTGTGTTGTATGGTATGTGTTGAGCGTGTGTGTTGTGTGCTGTGTGTTGTGTGCTGTGTGTTGTGGGTTGTGTGTTGTGTGTTGTGTTTTGTGTGCTATGTGCTGTGTGTTGTATGTTGTATCGTGTGTTGTGTGTTGTGTGTTGATTGCTTTGCGTTGTGTGTTGTGTGTTGAGTGTTGTGTGTTGTCTGAGTGTGTCTGTGTGTCTATGTGCGTCTGTGTGTCTGTGTGTAATGCGTGTGCGTGGGTGTGTGCGCGTGCGTGCGTGCGAGCGTGCGCGAGTGAGTGCGTGCGTGCGTGCGTGCGTGTCGTTCGTGCGTGCGTGCGTGCGTGCGCGCGCGCGTGCGTGCGTGCGTGCGTGCGAGCGAGTGCGTGCGTGCGTGCGTGCGTGCGTGCGGGTGCGTGTGTGTTGTGTGTGGTGTGTGTTGTGTGTGCGTGCGTGTGCGTGTGTGTGTGTGTGTGCGTACGTGTGTGTGTGTATGCCTGTGTGTGTGTGTGTGTGTGTGTGTGTGGGGGGGGGTGCTTGTGCGTGCTTGTGTGTGTGTGCGTGTGTGTGTGTGCGTGTGTGTGTGTGTCCCTGGACCCCTTGAGGCCTGGCCGCCGAGCGGGCGCTGGCGCCGCGGGAGCACGCCACGCGCCGGCGGCAGAGGCGGGCGGCGCGGCGGCCGCCCCGCGGCCGGCCGGGGACTCGCGGGCGCCGCAGGCCACCGCGAGGGTCCGAGGAGCCAACGACTGGCGGGAGCATACAGTCGGCCCGTATAATAAGGATGCGCGATAAGGATGCAAGGGCCTTGGACGCCCATTTCGGAGCTTTTCACGGGGGCGCGGCCGACAAAAGCGGCCAAGAATGGGCCGAGGAGGCAAGGATGCAAGGGCACCCTTGGGAAAATTGCCCATCCTCACTATGCGGGTTGAATGTATGAGAACTTTCGGAGCCATGAGATTCGGACGCCCGACATGGGTACGGAAAAACGGGCACACCGCCCAACAACAAGTGTTGCCCAAAACCGACGGCGGCCGCTGTTGGGCGGGCGGCCCCTTGCCTTCAGAGAACAACGTCCGCGGCGGCGCGGACGGAGCGAGTCCTGCTCAGAATGAACAGGAACTGCTGCTGGGCACCGTAGCCACCCTTTGCACCGCAGCCACTCCTTCCGTACCCACCTCGATCGTCCCGATGAGACCCCCGGGACCCCCACAGGGCCATGCCGAAGTCGGGGCAGAGGGCGCCCAGACCCCCCTCGGCGTCGTGACCAGGAGCAGCACGGCGATGGGGCCGTTGCTCGCGAGGCTCGGCCCGCGGGGGCCCGTATACAGTTGTCCGGCCTCGGGGCCGTCAGAAAGCCGCCCGGGAAGTTGTGAAAAAATCACGACGGGGAGATTGTCGCTCTGTTCGGCCTCCGGGGGCCCTTCCCAGGCCTCGGGACCGTCACAGAACGACGCAGGATGAAAAACCGGTCGGGGGGAAGGGGTCCAGGCCTTTGGGGGTCGACGCCGCGACAAAAGCCACGACGTCGGGGCCCCCGACGTCGTGGTTTTTGTCAAAACCGACTCGGGGGTCTTGGCTGTAGGCCACGCTCGGCCTCCGGGGGCCCTCGCTGGGCCCTGAGACCGTTCAAAAAAGGCTCGGGGTGAAAGCGGGCGCCTTCGCCTGGAACTCCGCGCGGACCTTCCTGAGATCCGACGCTGTGGAACACTGCAGCATGGCACAAAAATCACGGCCCGAGCCCCAGGCCCCACAATCTTGCGTCACTGTTCGAGCTGGATCGCTCTGGGAGGGTCCCCGGGTCCGAAGCCGGGCGAAGACTCCCGCGAAACGCCAGTATCTCGGGGCTCCGAGAGTTTATGCTCATGCCATCGTTTGCTCCTCGAGAGGTCGCCCAGGGCCTCCAGGGCGAGCTCCTGGCTGGCGCGACATGCAAACCGTCGCACCCTCACCAACAGTCGACTCTCCCGAGTCGATGGGAGGCGGGGCTAGAGTCTGGGCATTGGATAGGGAACCCTCAGATAAGGAATCCAGGGTCTGGAAGCCAGTGGAGCTCCAATCGTGAACCGGCCATGGCTCGCCGCCCTCGTTGGATAAGGAATCCTCCAGGGTCTGGCGCCTCCTAGGACTATTCCTTAAGAAACGCCTCCTCCGTAGGCTTCGGACTTCGCCACGTGCTCGACGAATTCTGAACCGCATCTCCGCCGCCCATTGAGCCCAGACCCCCCGAAGACATGTGTTATATCATGACGACGACCCCCAGAGGTCTCAACGCATTCCCCGGGACTGGCTTGTCCTCCCGAGAATCGTTGTTGGACGGTCCTAGGGCTTGGCGAAGCCCCCCGGAGGCCGAAAACTGCTAAAAAAAGCCCGTCATGATTTGATCATGGCCCGAGGTGGAAAATATCTGATGGATCAGTTCTGGATGGAAATGCCAAAAACGCAAACGCCAAACACCTGCACAGGCCGCGCGCGCCAAGAAACATTCAAGGACGCGCTACCAACGAAGCGCGCCGCTCCAGAAGACGAGGCCGTGAGACGGAGGGCCCGGGAGCCAGACACACTCCACGCACACCCTGGACACACCCTTCACACACCCAGACACTCCCAGGCACAACCTGGACAAACCCCCGACACACCCAAACACGCGCCAGACACACGCAAGAAACATGCCAGACACACGCCAAACACACGCCAGACACACGCCAGACACACCCAGACACACACCAGACACACGTCAGACACACGCCCGACACACGCTAGACACACGCCAGACACACGCCAAACACACGCCAGACGCATGCCACAGGCGCCAGACACACGCAAGACACACGCATGACATGCGCCAGACACACGCGAGACACACGCCAGACACACCCAGACGCACGCCAGACACACGCCAGACACACGCCAGACACACGCCAGACACACGGCAAACACACGCCAGACACACGCCAGACACACGCCAGACGCACTCAGGCACACGCCTGACACACGCCAGACACACGCCAGACACACGCCAGACACACGCCAGTTACACGCCAGACACCCGCCACACACACACACACACACACACACACACACGTCAGACACACGCCAGACGCACTCTGACACACGCCAGACACTCCACACACACACACACACAACAGACACACCCCAGACACACGCCAGGCTCACGCCAAGCACGCGCAAGACAGACGCCAGGAACACGCCAGGCAGATGCCAAACAGACGCCACAGGCGCCAGACACGCGCCAGGCACACGCCAGACACACACACACACACACACACCAAACAGACGCCAAACACACGCCAGACACACGCCAGACACACGCCAGACACACGCCAGACGCTCTCACATGCACGCCAGACACACCCAGACGCACCCCAAACAAACGCCAGGCACACCCCAGACACACGCAAGACACACGCCAGATACACCCAGACAAGCGCCAGACAGACGCCAGACACACATCAGGCACACGCCAGACACACGCCAGACACACGACACACCCCAGGCACACGCCAGACACGCGTACGCCAGACACACCCAGGCACATGCCTGACACATGTCAGACACGCCAGACACACCCAGACACACGCCACAGACACCCAGACACACACCAAACACACATCTGACACACGCCAGACACACGCCAGACACAACCCATCCACACGCCAGACACACCCCAGACACACCCCAAGCACACCTCAAACACACCCAGACGAACCGCAGACGCACCCCAAACACACACAGGCACATCCAGAAAAAAAAAACGCGACGCACGCCAGATACACGCCAGACACACCCCGACATAACGACGACGAGGACGGCGACAAGGACTCTAACGACTCCGAGTACAGCTTTATCTCGAACTCCGGCGAATCCAAGGCGCACCCAGACCCACGCCTGACAAACGCCAGACACACATCAGACACACGCCAGACGCACTCTGACACACGCCAGACACTCACACACGCACCTCAAACACACGCCAGACACACCCCAGACACACCCCAAGCACACCCCAAACACACCCAGACGAACCGCAGACACACCCCAAACACACACAGGCACATCCAGAAAAACCGCGACGCACGCTAGATACACACCAGACACACCCCGACATAACGACGACGAGGAAGGCGACGGGGACTCTAACGACTCCGAGTACAGCGTCATCTCGAACTCTGGCGATTCCAAGGCGCACCCAGACACACGCCAGACACACGCAAAACACACCCAGACACACCCAGACACACGCCAGACAGACGCAAGACACACATCAGGCACATGCCAGACACACGCCAGACACACGCAAGACACACCCCAGACACACACCAGACACACGTCAGACACACGCCCGACACACCGAGGCACACGCCTGACACACATCAGACACACGCCATACACACCCAGACACACGCCACACACCCCGCCACACGCCAAACACACATCTGACACACGCCAGACACACACGCCAGACACACACGCCAGACACACCCCCCACCCACACACACACACACACGCACACACACACACACACGCACGCCAAACACACTCCAAACACACCCCAGCACACACCCGGACGAACCGCAGGCGCACCCCAAACAAACCAAGGCATATCCAGACACACCATGACGCACGCCAGATACACGCCAGACACACCCAGACACACCCCGACAGAACGACGACGAGGACTGCGACGAGGACTCTAACGACTCCGACTGCAGCTTTATCTCGAACACCGACGACTCCGACTTCGACGCTGACTCAGACGCCGACTCCGGCGACTCCGACTCCAGCTACAAAGCGGTCAGGAACGCGTTGGTGCAACTGTTTGTGTCCTCTTTCATCCTTCCCATCCTCCCTCATGTTCCCATCGTCCTTCATCCTCCTGTTTCTCATTCTGTCCTCTCGCTCTCCCACTGCCTCCGTCCTACTGCATCGCTTCATCTTCTTCCCAACTATTACGCCAGCCACCCATCGTCCATCCTCAGCTCCCCACCCCACCCCCTCCACCCTTTGTCCATCCTCCACCCCTCTGTCCTCTTACTTGCCACAACAACCTCCTCTCCCTCCATCCTCCCGCCACCGCATGGATCCCCTACCTCACAAAAATGGAGGCTACACGGGAGCAGGCCCGTGGGGGTCTTATTACGGGCTCAAACTATCCCACCAGCGATTTATCAGCCGGAGGAGGTCTGGGAGTTGCCCGAATCGTTGACCCGAGAAGGTCTGTTGGCGGCGCGCAGAGGGGGGTATGGGAAGGGGGGATATCTTCTTGGGAGACTGCTTCTTGGAAGCGCGGGCCTCACATCTATGGATACGCCCCGCGTCTTCTGAGAAGCAGCCGTATTTTAAGAAGCCTTCCCCGCTCCCCCTGCCCAGGAGAGCCCAGAATCGAATCGATAAGTCGGATCGGCAATCGACATAAGTCGGATCGGAAGAAATCGGCAGCCGAGTCGGGAAAAGTCGAATCGGTGGAAATCGGCAGGCTGGTACGCCTCCATTGAGAAATCGGAGCCCAAATCGGAATCCGAAGTCGATTCGAATCGGAATCGGAAGCCATCGAAATCGAATCGAATCGAATCGGAGGAAGCGAAACGAGCCCTGCCTGCCCCCCTCTGCGCGTGGCCGAGCCTGGCAGTTGCCCGAATCGTGGATCGCTGCTGTTGGCACCCCTTGGGAGGCCGACTTCTGCTTCCACCCGGCCTTCTCCCCAGCCTTCCGCTGGCGGAGGCGGCCTCGTTCTGCTTCCGCCGACCCTCCGCCGCCCTCCCGCCGCCTTCCGCCGCGGAAGAGATGGCAACTCCTTTGATCCTCGAGGGCCAGGCCCTTTTCCGGGATCGCCCCACGACGACGACAACGACAACGACACCAACGACAAGAACGATAACAGCGACAACAACGGCAGCAGCGAAAACAGCGATACCGACGACAACAACGATAACAACGACAACAACGAAAACAACGACAACCTCGACAACGATAGCGATAACGTGTCGTTGTGATCGTTGTCGTGATCGTTGTCGTGATCGTTGTCGTTGTGATCCTTATCGTTGTTATGTGGGCTTAGACTTCGCCGCCGAGCTCCACGCCCGGCAGCTCGCCGCCGAGGGCGCGGCACAGGCGCCCCAGGCAGGCCACGGCGGCGCGCCGGAGGTCCTGGCAGTGCCCTGGGCTCCGCAGCACATCCATGCAGCGGTCCTGTCGGCGGCGAGCCCCGGGGGGGAGGCGAGAAAGGGCGGACCTTCTCAGTCGGGGATCTTCTGACCCGGGTCAATCCAGACCCGGGTCAGTCAGGCCTTGCAGAATCCTGCAGGATCCTGCAGGATCCTGCACCCAACCCTGGGTCAATGCGACACTGGCCCTGCAGGATCCTGCAAGACCAGGCGCTCTGGCTGACCTCCGTTTGCATTGACCCCCGTCTCAAGGCTCCCGGCTCAGAAGGCTCGGAAGCCCCCCGGCCTTCCTAGAAGGTTCCTGAGCAAGGCCTTCTCCTTCTCGCTGCCCCCCCCCGCTTGCCGCCGATCCTGGGCTGGTCACCAAGACATGCCTGCGTCTTGGCGAAACAATATCAGGGCGCGGAAAATTCTTCGTCGCTTGCAGCCTCCAATAACCGTCGCCAGGCCCCGGGACCGTCAAGAAACGGCTCGGGATGAAGAACCGGCTCGTGGGGGAAGGGTCGGGACTTCCGGGAACCCCGCACTGAGAAACTCAAGACTCGAGGCGTCCTAGATGGGGTCCGAGTAGATGGGGTCGGAGGATCGCGCCGCATCGCCAATGCATCGGCGAAGTCGGCGATGCATCGGCGCCGTCGGCGTGGAGAAAGTCGGGCTCCGCATCGAGCCGCATCGCCTACGCATCGACAATGCGGCGCGATCCTCCGGCCCCATCTGCTCGGGCCCCATCTGGGAGGCCAAGAAGGACGTCGCAATGTCTCGGAAGACTTCGGGCTGCGCACGCCATGCTATCTGGGCGCTGCAACTTTTTCACAGCGGGCGTGGTGGCCCAGTTTCGGACCCTGGCACCATGACAGGTAGATGCGGCCCGAAAAATGCAGCAGAAAGATTGTGTTAAGAGCTCCGGTCGTGATTGTTCGCGATTGCTTCGCACTGAGAGATCGGTTCGCAATGAGAGGACCCTTTACTAACCCTTTGAAACAAGGCCTAGGCCTAAGTCAGGAGGCACAAGACATTAGGGATATGGGGTCTGTGTTGCACAGGTGTCAGCGAAGCCACCAAGATCCTCTTGACCCCCACTGCAAAATCTGGAGCCTGACTTAGGCTCAGCCTTCATTGTGTCATTCGGGTCAGGGGCTCGACTCTTCTTCACGAGCGATGCTGCGATCTGCTCGCGACGTCGGATCGCAGGGCAGGCAGCCCCCCGAGGCGCAGCCCCCGGCTGGCCTCCACCGGCGCCCGCCCCGGGCTGCCCCAGCAGGCCTCCGCAGGCCCCCCGAGCGGCCCAGAGCGGCCTCCACACCCCAACGCCTGGGCGCGGAGCGCCCCCGGGGGCGCCGCCGGAGGCGGCGACAGGGCGTGGAGGCCCCGCTGGGGGGGGCCAGTGGAGGCCAGCTCAGAAGTCAAAATATCCACCCCCAGAAGAGCCACCCCGACCCGCGGAGTCGTGTAGCAGACGCGCCCAAGGAAGGAATCGAACAGGGCAGGGCTGTCTGGTCAACGCCCAGGGCCGGTTATCAAACAGCTGGGGCTACCTCGGGGCGCCTGCTGCAGCCAGCTGCGGCCACCTGGGGGGGCGCCCGTCGAGGCCAGCCCGAGCTGCCTGCGGGGGGGGGGGGGGCGCTGCCTGCGCGCAGCCCGAAGCATCGCCGAGGGAGGGGTCCTGGGCCACCTCCGCGTACGGGTGCACGGCGGCGCCGGCTGCGCTGCAGAGGTCGCCGAAGACGGCGAAGCCAGCCGCGCACGACTGCGGCTGCTCCCTCAGCAGCATCGCGGCGGAGAGCGCTGGCCACAGGGCGGCGGTGTGCGCCGAGGCCCCTGGCCCGAGCGCGCGGACGAGCGCCCCAGCGGCCCACAGCGTCTCGTCGTGCATGCCGACCCCTTGTGCGACGCCCGCGTCCAGGACCGCCACGTAGAGCCTCACCATGGGCACCGCGCAGGAGGCGACCTCGCCCCCGAGGCGCTCGGTGAGGGCCTGCAGGCATGCCCCGACGCCGTCCACCTGGCGGGCCTGCCGCTCCTCCGCGAAGCGCAGCAGCGCCAGCAGCAGCTCCCCGAAGCGCGGCCTGCACTCCTCGCCGGCCCCACGGACCAGCGCCGCCAGCGCGCCGAGGAGGGTTGCGCGGCCGCAGGGCCCCGCCTTCGCAGAGTCCTCCAGAAGGCGGGCCGCGGTGGGCAGGAACTGCTCCCCCGACACCGCCGCCGAGGCCATGAGGCCCTCCAGCACATAGCCGAAGTCCTGGCTCAGGTCCGCGTCGGCCGCGAGCGCCAGGCTGGCGGGCAGAAGCCCCGCCCTGGACGCCGCCGGGATGGCCCTGCCGTGGAATTCCAGCGCGCGGCCCGCGGCCCATGCAGCAGCCCTCTGGAGGGTCGCGTCGCTCAGCGCTGGGAGCAGGACGCCGAATGAGCGGACCACGATGGCGGTGACGCCCTCCTGGGGCGCCTCCACCATGGCGCCGTAGGCCAGCAGCGCGGCACGACGCAGCCGCAGCTCTGGAGACTCGAAGTGGGCGCCCAGGAAGGCCAGGACAATGTCCAGGCAGGGCTGCCCAGATAGCCGCGCCACCGTCGCGAGACAGCCGCTCGCCGAGTCCAGCAGGTCTCGTGGCTCCGCCGCGCCGCCGGCAACGCTCCCCCGCGAGAGGGCGTGCAGCAGTCGTGGCACGAGTGCGGGCAGCGCCTTCGCGATGTAGCCCCTGCTGTGCGGGCCGGGCATGAGCTCCAGGTTCGCGATGCTGCTCCAGAACTCGATCCCAAGCGTGGCCAGGTACTCCGAGCCGTGCTCTATGGCCGCCCAGGTGACCGGCGCGACATCCTCCAGGTGCGGCCCGAGGAGGTCGTAGTACTCTGCGGCCAGGCGCCCCAGGCAGCGCAGCGCTGGGGCCGCCAGCTCCGCAGGGCCCGCCGGACAACAGCTGTGAAGAATGCGGCCAATGACCTGCTTGGACTCGCCAGGATCCAGGAGGCTCGCCTGCGCACACCCAAGCACGTGGAACAGGGCCTCGCAGGCTGCGGCGCGCAGGCCTGGCGGGCCCTCTCCCTCCCCGACGCAGCGGAGCGTGGCGGCCAGCATGCAGCGAACGGACGCGCTGACCTCCCGGCCGCCCCTCTCGGGAGTGAAGTTGTACCACCACT